TATTCAAATGAAATGGGCTTCTTGTTGCTGGGAGTATGTCCAATGAAGCCTAAGACTAAATAACAAGCATTGGAAGGAATAATACTCCTACTCTCTATGCCTTTCCATCCAATATGCCCAATGCCTCTCAGTATTGTGTATGGAATGAGAATTCTACAATAATGACACAATTTTTATGCAAATTTATCTAGAGTATGTTTAATGTTCAATTGTGCTGTTACGTCCACTCTGGCCATACTTTGGATCTAAAATAGTTCAAACAAACAACTTAACATAAACATATTAATCATTATGACCCCCCTCCACCCCCCAACCTTACTGTTGTTTTCTTTTATAAATACATACTTTTAATACAGATAGTTCTGTCAGCAACCTCTTCAGTGAGTTATGTGGAGTTTCATGCCACAGAACAGTGTGTAAAATGATTGGATCTGATCTGATTGGATATCTAATTATCCAATCACTGTACGTTTTGTTTTTCAGTGAAATTAACAGTGTGCTTTTGTCTGCGTAAAAAAATAAATAAAGACAGAACTCCTTGAATAAATTTAGCAAACTTTATTTTACTATATTATTAATTTCTTCAAAATAAATACAAGACAGTTTTTAAGATATGACAGATACAAAAATCATTTTATTGTATTTTCCGATTGTAAAAAACAGTTAGGACTTTGTTTTCATTTCACAAGAGATGCAGATGTATCCATCAACAACACAAGTTCAACGTGCAAAATATAACATAAAGTATTCAATGTAAACCAGCAGTCAATCTCATTCCTTCATATGTCAGCTGTCTCCAGACTAGCAAAAGCCTTGAGTTTGAAAAATTATTTTAGGAATTATCAAGAAACTAGTAGAATGGTTACATGAGACTTCCCAGCATCCTTTGCCTGCAACAGGCCAAAGGTTTTTGACAACTAAATAAAATGCTTCTTACTGACCCACCTCAATTCAAAAATCCGTAGAAATGCTCAAGTATGTGCATTTTATGACAAACACCAACAATTTAGCATCAAAAAGATTAAATTAGCTTAAAATATATTAAAAAAAATACCCTTCACTTTTTACATGTGTATATATAAATACGGTAACCCTGCATTGGTAAATTTAAATACTCTACAAATAGATTTATCAAAGAAAAAGTAAAAAATATTAGATGTACATTTAAGAATTTCTTCATATAAAGACATGTATCACTAAAGTAGAAAGACATTCATTACTGCCTTTATGCTGCTAAAGAAATAGAATTTTGGACAAACTCTCTTTGTCTCTAAACGTGGCAAAAACAGTAACGCTCAATACATAATTATATAAAGTTTTTTCCCCCTATTTATAAACAAGAGCTGCAACAAAAGTAATTATGAAAAAATGTTTAACTTGCTGTAAGAGAAGACAAAAATGTGTTTTTCTGCCTATAAACATACATTACATGTATAAAAGGCACACAAAGATCATATCCATTATTTTTTCTTGACATTCACTTTCACCACAATTTTATAATAATTTCACACTTTGCAATCAAGCGTTCAGTTTCAAACTACTTTCTAGTCGATTATTAGACCTTCGTTATTTTCTCTAGAGAAAAAAAAAAAAATGACACGGGACAAATATCCCTGATAATAAATTAGATACAATTACTTTTAAATAGTCCTGGTCAATGGCTAGAGTACGTGAACAAGAATAAATAAATTAAACGTGCCAAACGATTCTCTCTACAATAGTGTAATACCAGTTAGCAAAGTGCATGGATATTAAGAAATGTTTTTGCTGCCAAGGTAAAAAAAAAAAGAAAAAGCTATGAATCCCCTTGGTTGATGTGGCTACGGGCTAGAATTAATTTAGAAAGAAAATAATAAAGTATCAAAATTGTATGTACTGTGAGGAGTACATTCAAAATTAAATGTGTAATATCCTGTTCATTAGGTGGAAGAGATAATGGAATACTCTACTAAACATATAAAAGTTGTTTTGTTCTGGCGTAGCTTGGCATCTGATGCATATTATGCCCCATAATTCTCTACCGAACAAGGAAACATGGGGAGAGTATGTCCAATATACATTCACAATTCCCCACAAATGGTTTTGCACAGTATATGCATGCACACAATAAACTGATGGATATTCCAATGGTGCCTCACAGACTGTACTACATACATTTTACAGAATTAAAAACTGTCAGGACACTCAAAGGGTTAAATCCAAAGGCAGAATTTTTATAAGAAACAGAGACCTCTGTTTCCATTATAAATCTGCTTTTGAATTTAACCATTTGAGTGCTGTACTATCAATTCTAAACACATATTTACATGCACAGCATCTCAAAAACAGGTGGCACCACTGTACCAGATTTGGAGTGGTGGTATGTGTTTCTGCAGCACACAACACTTCAACATTTACTTTGTAGTAAGTGAGGTTTCCTGTCTGTTATAAATGTGCGAGTTGCAGCCATCTTGACCATACTATAGATTACCGTGGTTAGTGGGTTATAAAAACAATGTGCATTATATTTTTGTAATAAGATGCCGCAACTTCATCAACAAAAAAATACTAAACTGGGAATTTATGTGCATCAAAATCATGAGAAAGTGTCAGCATAAGATATAAATCTTACTAATTGTGTTTAAATTTGATTCAGATTACAATGGCTTAAAATCAATAAGAATGATGCCAGGTTTAGAACAATACGCATGCTTTGATGAACAGGTAATTCCACATCCATTGTTTTCTGGCCATTGGCCTTCTTTTATCAACCAGTAATGTTTTCATTGTTTTATAAAGTACGGAACAGCTTCTGTATGACGATTACTGTAAATCACCCTTAGATTGCAGTCAAGTTTTCAAGTACAAAGTGCACAATATATTTAAAAAAAAAAAAGACATCCCATTCGCCTAACTTAAGAATGTATCTGATAGAATATCATATAATACATCCAGATGGTTTGGATGTTGATAGATGTACCATGCATCTAATCACCATAACAATATATTATTAAGGCTTTTGGTCCAGACTGTACCCCGTGCCTAATTTCAGTTCTAAGATTGGTTTATAACTGCAGCAATGTGTAAGCAATTTAGCTTACTGCTGATGTTCGCCAACCTCCCTGGCTCAGACACAGCAATGGAGGATTTTTTACTTTGATCTTTCACCTGTCATTATTGTCCAAAATATCTTGCTTTCTACACTGGAGCTATCAAATTAATTTGCTGTAAGCATACAGGTTGGTGGCTCTGCTGATCTGTAAACAATCTGATAATAACCATGGTGTGCATGAAATGTGTTCTGCGTGCAAGACTACCCTATCACATTTCTTAAAAAAGCATTGCGTCAAGCAGAACGAAAGTACCATATTAGTGGCTCTTCTGCAAATACTTTCAATTGAACCTATATCCTCTAAATCTATATCCATACCGTTGAACTAGTCAAAGTCAGTAACCGCCAGGGAACAATAAGGTGGTGATCTGTCAAAGGAAGAAAAGACACTCAAAAAGGGGCAGACCTACACATTAGTCACTACTAAAATTGCATTTTTGTTTAGCTGGAGACAGAGCTGTCTATAATATCACTAGGACCCTGGGCAAAGCATTTTCTTGGCCCCCCTGGCCCCCTCCTTGGCATGCAATCGCACCTTTCACATACATACTTACACAGACAGACATAATGACACACATATATTCACTGAGAGACATATTGACATATTCACAGACACACAAAGACATACACATACACACACTGACAGACATACTGACACACACACAGAAACACACGCTGATAGGCATACTGGCACAAAGACACACACTAACAGATATACTGACACACACACAAAGACACATACACTGACATACCCACTGACAGACATACTGACACACACATACACAGACATACACACGCGCAAAATTTACACTTTTAAAATTACTTCCCGTTTTCCTACCTTGAAGGATTGCTTCCCTGGTGTCCAGAGTGGTGGCCATTCGGCCCCGCCCCCCTCCTCTCTGCCTACCTGGTCTCTCCCACGTGGCTCTCTCTGGGAGGAAGTGACTCACGGCAGTCACTTCCTCCGAAGCTGCCAAAAAGCAAGGGGGTCCGGTCGTGCTGTTAAATGCAACAGCTCATGACTGGGCCCCTGCTTACAAATGCCCACCGGGTGGCCCTTAGTGCATGAGCCACCCAGTGAGCCGCCTTAGTGTGCAGGCAACAGGATGTACCGGGAGCCCATGAGGGGGAGTAAGCTGTTGAGGGCTTGGCTGGCCCTGGCTGGAGAACAAATCTTACATCTGAAGTTTCATTATAAATCCAAAGAGTACCTACGTAAAAGACACAACTAAAAGGGAGCCTTTATTTTGCAGCAAAAAAATAAAATAAATATTTATAAAAGACAATTACCATAGCAGCAAAAGCCATCATAAAATGTAAGCACATATAAAATTAATTTACTTAGCAAAAAAAATAAAAATCTGTTCGTTATTGAACCAGCTGGAGATACCAGAACCCATGTAATAGTAAAAACAGGTATGTTTCAAAAGTAGTGGTTCTAATCTTATTGTATGATAAATAACTCTCATACCCAGTGTCAATGATTCTGCACCGCTGTATGTATGTATATATATATACACACACACACACACACACACACACACACATTCTATATAATAAATACAGCATTGTATATCACAATTACTATACTACAATTATTTGCTCTTCTATTTACATTTCAACAAAATATAGGGATATTTTTTAAGACTTTCAATAGTATAACCGTAAAATATATATTTGATTTATACAGCTTTTAACAATGTACCTCTATGTACCCATATAATTTAACGGACATTTTAAAATGTCAGGATCCAATGTAAAATATAAACATTCCATTAACTTTTTCCTTCCGTCTATTGTGGACTTCTAGCATTTACTAGAGCTTCTTGATTAAAAGTACCAGCAACTTCATAAATTAAAAAAAGGTGTCTTAAAACAGATTTATCTCCAAACTTTGTGCAGAAACTGCTTACAAAGCATCCACTTTCATCATATCGCTTTTATCAAACACAACCTTATTGGAGAAATAGATGGAAATCAGTCCAAAGAGTGCAGCGGAAGCAACGTAGGCTGTCACGGTCTGAGTCATTTGGACAATGATACCCACAAAAAGTGAAGGCACAACTTGTGACAGTAATAAAGCACTATCTAAAATTGCCATATCCAGGCAGATCCCATGGTTGGCGACTACAGGCTCTGTTGCAGTGGCACTCCCGTCACTGGTAGAAGGACCAAGGCACAACGGGGAGTTGTGGGAGCTGAGCAGTGTAACAGCTGTGCCGTTCGGCGTTTCTTTAATGAAGCCAGACTTCCACTCTTTCTCGTTCACTTTGTCTTCTGCTGTGTTCTCACACTTGTCCTTGTATTTGGGGAGAAAAACCTGTTGAATAGAAAAATAATACTTCACTCTCACATAAAAGCAAGCAAGTCTCAAATTTAACATTTTAAAATGTATATATTATTTATATAACAGCATACTAAATACTTCTTTATTGATTAGGTCAATCTTTTTGGACAGTGAAAGGAAGGTTCTCTCATCTGGTATACTAAGACCAGGGTTGCTGTTCTTTATAATGGATCTGCATAACCCTATAATGTTGCATTTTGTATTTAGGGTACTTATATTTAACTTCCATCAATCTAAAATCCTTCCTTGAAGCCTTAAAAGCTTGCAAAAACACACAACACTTACAGAACAGAAGAACTCTCTGATCCCCAGAAGACAGCCCATCCAAGGACAGCAGGATAGAAGAGAAATCAAGAAAAAAAAAAAGAGGAGAGAAGATGAAATGAGAGAGAGGCCCAAAACAAGCATACATCACTGGATCAGCATGTGTTTTTAAAAAGCTAAAAGCAAATAAATTTAAAGAGACGTGTTTATTAGGAAAAAAAACTGAAAAGAAAACCAATCCTTGTGTCATGAAAAATCCTACCTGTTAAACTTAAAAAATGTATGCTTTTTTTAAAAATAAAATAAGAACAAGCTCTATCTATGTTGGTTTTTGGAAACTAACTACATCCAATAGGACTTTAGTATAAAAGAAAAACGTAAGGCTGTAACCAGCGGCCACCACTATTTGCAACAGCCAGTTGGAGTCATTGATTAGTACATTTATAGAGTGTCAGATTTATGTACTCAAACTATAGTTTGCAGATTTAAAATTTAAAATACAAATGCAGATGTATACTTCGTATTACAATGCAGCATTGAACAAACAATGTAGGAACAAAGGCAAGGTTTGCTCGGTGTCGTTCCATTGACTTATATGTATTTTCCACTCCCTATTTTGGTCTGGATTTTGCAATTGGTTTTCAATTCAGTACATTTCAGTGCTAAGTAAATAAATCTCTGTGTTTATAACCAGTTTGTGTTGTGTATTGCTAGTCATACCCAATTACATTGCCTATTGAATATGAAACATGGGGGAAGATTTATCAAAGCAAAAACAGGTGCTTATGGGTATAAATGTTGAGAGATGTTTTATTGGTTTCCATGGTGATTGTTCATTACTTAACACTGTGACCTAGAATAGCACCTGCAAATCTCCCCCATGGTGTCTAAATCCACTTAAATTAAAGGGACAATACAAACAACATAATTACTACTGCTCTCTGTACTGGTTATGTACTATAGTTAAAAGACCTTGAGAAACGTCCCCTGTTATTTTGCATATAGTTTGAGAGTGGTTTAACAAAACTTGGAGCTCCCTTAGCGTTCGCCCCCTCTTCACCCGCACTGAGTAAGCAAAATTTACATATGTGCATTATGTTCGCTGAAAAAGAACATCAAGTCATTCTAAAAGAAATAATGCCACTTTAGAGAAGACACACACAAAAATACATTTTAAACTATAAAATGCGCACCTTTTGACTGCTATCCATAAATTCTATAGTGTTCCCTGTGTTTATAAGGAAGAGGATGAGATGGGTGTATAATGTGAGGCAAGCTGGATACTTCCTCTTATCCATGCGCTAGTCCTGACTATTTGCAGGCAACGATCATTACAAATTATAATTCAGTAAATACTTACCTGGCGGTTATTGTGGTAGAGTGAGGTCAGAGTGTACGGCAGGATCTGCAGAACAGAGAACGGGAAGCCAGTCAAGGCTGCAGATGCAGTAACCAGGATCACACTTTGAGAGAAGCACATGACTGTTGCAGCCAATGGGAGGCAGGTAACAGCAGAAAGGTACACATATCGAGTGCCAAAAGTTTTTACGAGATAATCCATGGAGAAAGAGAAGATCATGGACATCACAGACTGAAGGAAGAGCCCCAGGCTCCCCATTCTGACTCCTAAAATAGGATACAGATAGTCAGGCATATAACTAAAAAGAAGGTAAAGATGCCAGTGGAAGCACAAATCACAGCAACATTTTAACAACATCATATATTAAAAACATAACATAAGGTAGTTAAAATATATTGGAGTAACAAAAGTAGTACAAAGATCAATACTACCCACCTTCATCATACCGAAGTCTAGCTTCCGTCCCTGGCTCTGCCATGGGCACACCATGATAAAGTCCTTCACCAACAAAGTCAGTATAAAAGAGAATAAGTGTCATGAGACCCATCCAGGAAAAGAGTTGTGCTACAAATAGACGCCAGAGAGCAAAAGGTACCCGGTAACAAAACTTCCTAATTCGTGACACAAAAGCACATATGCCTTTTAATGCCATAGCTAAACGCCAAGCTCTGAGTGGCAAATTCCAGAGCTGCCAAGCTCGTAAATTGGTCACCACCCTGGATGGAACTTCTCCAGGAACATCTACATGTGCACCACCAGTTCTCACTTCTTCAGAAACAAAGAGTGTGGCAAAAACACATCCAGCCAAAATGACTAAAAGTAGGATAAAGAGACATTGTTCTTGCCCACCTAACTGCTGTGCCACCCAGCTGCCACTCCAGTTTATAGAAGGCAATAAGTATCCAATGCAAGCACCTAGGCCAACAGTCAGGGCATACATTGAAAATGCTTTGCTGCAGGCCTCTCCCTCTGGGAACAGGTCAGAGAGCAAGGCTTCCAATGGTGTAAAGCAAACCTGTCCACAGGAATCCAATAGTCCAATGCCAAGGATGAGGAAAGCCACCTGTGTTCCAGCATAGTCGCCTCCCGTAAATGTTGCCAGTTGTTTGGAATATGGGATAATGATCAGACTTAGCATTACTCCTAGGCACAGAATCCAGATAAAGGGTCGGCGGCGGCCAAATCGGCTCCTCAGTCGGTCGCTGGCAGAACCTATGAAGTGCACAACTAAAAGGCCAAGGATGGGGCCTATACCTAAAAGACAAAAAAAAAACAAAAAAAAAAAACATGCATTAAAATGGAAAGCAGAGGTTTTGGAAAACACATCAAGAAGAATTTTACTGTAAGTAAAAATTGGTAAAAGCAGTCTGCTTTTAGTATCTAAATTTCAGTCTCCATAAGCATTGCAATTATCTACATTTCCATTCAAAGTTTTCTAACATTGGTACCAAAACTTTGAGCAAAGTGGACTTTCCACTAGATCTATCAAGTACAAATGTATTAAATTAAAGGAACATTCCCAGCACCAAATCTACTACAGACAACTGTAGTGGTTATAGTCAGGGACGTTTTAGCCGAGAGGCAAACAAGGCATTTGCCTTGGGTGGCAAAAGAAAGCCGCCCCCAAATGCCCAGGGCAAATGTCTTGTTAGCCTTGCAGCTAACTGACAAGCCGGGCAGGCCGGCTGGGTGCTGGGCGGGCTAGTGGGCAGGTAGCACTGGCGAGGGAGCACTTTCCTCTGAGCTCTCCGCTCAGCTTCCTCGCGCGCCGCAGAGTGATGCTGGCAGCCGGACTATGACGTCATATTTCGGCTCCCGGCCTCACTCTGCGGCGCGCGAGGGAGCTGAGCAGAGTGCTCACTAATCAGTGCTCCCTCGCCAATGCCGCCCGCCCGCCCATTAGCCCGCCCAGCAGTCACTGGACCCCCAGGGAAAGGAAGAACCCCCCAGCATTCCCAAAGGTAAGGAGGCTGAGGTTGAATAAAAAAAAGAAAAAAAAGAAAATGAGTGTAAAGTGAGTGAGTGTGTGTGTTAGGCCTAGGGCAGCACAAAACCAGGATACAACACCGGTTATAGTACCAGAAGTGCCTTGGCACCTTATCCTTATAACCTGTCAAATGTCTTTAGTACAATTTAACAGTTACCGGTTACTGGTTTTATAGCATGCAAAGGATACATTTACTGCATAGTTACTGCAAAACATAAAATGATCTGTGAAGGTACATGCACACCTTGGCCAAACCGATAAAATCAATTAATAAAAAAGCCAAAATATTTTTTACTGCTAGTAAAAGTAATCAATTCTGCAAAAGAATTTAAATAAGATTCATAAAGGTAATGGAGAACAAGAAAAAAGAGAAGTGATTTTACTTTGAATCACTAATGAATCAATTGATCTCTTTATGTAGGTATGATCTCACGAGGTAAGCACTTTCTAATCATATTTATATAACTCCAAAAAACTAAAAGATAAATAATTAATTCACAAGACCACTTATAGTACTGGATGTTTAAATTCTCAGCAGAAGCCCTACTCAGCCAAAAGCAAAGCACAATGTCCTAAATAACTCAACTAAGGGAAAATCCACCAACAAAACCTTCTGCTCACAGGTGGGACATATAGCCCTCTCCAACCACCATTTGCATATGTTTCAGTTCAATCCTAATTTTTGTAAGAATCATGAAACTAGATGAATCATTGACAGAACTGGTTATCATTATATATCATCTTATTTACAAGGACACTATAGTCACCAGAACAACTAGAGCTTATTGAATTTGTTCTGAATAGAATCATTACCTTCATGCTTTTTTTTTTCTTTTCAGAGAAAATGCAGTGTTTACATTACAGCCTAGTGATATCTTCACTGGCCACTCCTCAGATGGCTGTTAGAGATCCTTCCTGGGACATGGCTGCCTGAAATGCATCCAAACATTCAGTGTCTCCTCCCTCTGCATGCACACTGAACTTTCCTCATAGAGATTCATTGATTCAATTAATCTCTATGAGGAGATGCTGATTGGCCAGGGCTGTGTTTCAATTGTGCTGGCTCTGCCCCTGATCTGCCTCCTTGTCAGTCTCAGCCAATCCTATGGGGATTGGATCAGGCCACCATTTCTGATGTCAGCTTCAGACTTGAATACAAGTAAGATTTTACAATCTGTAGGGAGGCAAAGGGGGCCAGATAGTGGTTTTAACACTATAGGGTCAGGAATACATGTTTGTGTTCCTGACCCTATAGAGCTCCTTTAAGTTTACATATTCTTCTATATAAAAGTTGTTTTACAAAAAAGTTCTGTAAAGTTTAGGTTTAATTATTGAATCCATACTTATGTTTTACATAAATAATGTTTTAAAATGACCTTGAATGCACTCCTTAACTAAATAAGTCACGTTTATCTTTCTACTTAGTGTAGGTCCTCTGCGGACTATTTAGTTAAGGCCAAGAGTTAAGTGACTTGGGTAAATCTGGGGTCAGTGAACTTTAACCTGTTTATTAGATGAGCTCTAATTCAGTTCTATCCAACTCATCCAATTTTAGGAGACAAACATTAATTAAAACTTGTTTATCATTTTTAATACAAAAAGTAGTACAGGCATCTTGTAGAGAACAGAAGAGTATTTGTATCATGTTGTATATCCATAGAAAAGCATACCACCTACCTAATACCATAGTCATGAACTTTTCTTCCACTCCAGCCTCCAGCAACAAAGGGGGAACAAAAGTGACTCCTGCGGCCAAACATACCTCCAGACCACATGTCAGGGAATTAACAAGCAGGAGCTGTGCCTTAGGACTGTGGAGGAAGTGGGGGATCCCAGACGTCTGCATCTTGATAACTTTTGACGCTGTCTGAATCTTCTAGTTATACTTCTAAGTTCCGCAGGTAAACACTTTATATCCTGCTGCACCCCTGCAGCTTGGGTTCCAAACAGCCATCCTTACTACAGTGAGCCACGAGTTTAATGGTACATATTAGTGGATACATCTCCCATCATTATACAGGAAGACGAGAGGAGCAGGGAGATTGAAATAAGGGTCTGGCAGCTCTTTTGGTAAAAATCCAATGACGCTATATCCAGCATATAAGCATCATAGCCTGGAAAACAAAGAATAAAAACAGACAAATTAGTTTTGTTTTACAAAAAATATAATATGCCATTGTTAAAGTGTTGCATTTTAATTTACCCAACAGAACTATAGCTTTTGTATGATCATTCTCATTAAATGTTGTGTAGCTTGTTTGAGCAGGACTCGCATCACCTTCTGTCCCTGTTCGTCTAAGTTATCTTGCTGTAATTATTTCTTTGTTTGTCCATGATTCAGTGCTGCTGAATTTGTTGGCTCTATAATCTATAACAATAATCGAACGAATGTAATAATCTAGTAGTTGCACAAAGCAAAATGCTGTAAAATGAATTATGCACCCTTCTACCAAATATGAAGTGCTTAGGAAAAAGGGGTACTTATAAAATATTTTTCTAGCATTTTCTGGTTTCCTGTGTGTTTTTGACTTAAAAATGAGATAAATCCTCTGATGCACAGCAAATAGAATGAGCTATGACTCGGTTTTGTATGTTATCGACAAATACCTTTCACTAACAGTCAGCCAGGAGATCAGGCATTCTATATATCTATCGATATATATATATATATAGACTGATTATTTTATTTATATATAATCAGGACACGATAAATCCAAGGCGACTAGAACTTTCGCCCTGGTGCCTGGGATTTGTCAGCCCTTTACCTAAAGCGGCTGGCTGGGCAAACAATGGAGTCATTGAAGTGGTCAGCTGAGGCAGCACGCGAGGGAGCAGTGATCTTCCTGTTGCTCCTCTCTGCTCCCTTGTGCTGTATAGTGACAATCACAACTGCCCATTGCTGCACAGGTTAATACTTCCTCATTAGTCCACAGAGAGAATTCATTTCTGGAGACTTACGTTTAGCATTAAAACATTAAAGGATCACTATAATGTTAAAACCACCATCTAGCCCCTTTGGGCCCCTCATGCCTCCATAAATATAGTAAAAATCTTACTGTATTCAAGCCTGAAGCTGTAACTCTGCATGCTGTTAGACTCAGAAAAACAAGCTGTCTGCTGACATCATCAGAAGTGGTAGCCTGATCCAATCACAGTGCTTCTCCATAAGATTGTCTGAGACTGACAAAGAGGCAGATCAGGGGCAGAGCCAGCATGATTCAAACACAGCTCAGGCCAATCAGCATCTCCTCATAGAGATGAATTGAATCAATGAAAAAGGACTCTGAAGAGCTTTGTCAATTTATATCAAATAAGACTGAAAATAGAGGTGGTACTATGGTAAAAAAAAAAGGAAGGACAGTTTAAAGGCTTGTTAAAGTCTTGGAGTATGACGTTTTTTTCAACAGAGTCTAAAAGTGGTAATTTCAATAACAATTATTGAAATGTATCATTGAGGACAGAAACGCCTCCCTGGCTGCCAATGAAATACCTGGGGAGGTTTTCTTCCCCCTTTTCAATAAACTGAACTACATCCGCAATCCATGAGTGCTAGTCTCTCTAAAACAGAGGCATCTCAATTATGTTGATGGTGTATTCCCTGGCAAAGACTGAATGTCTAAGCTTGGGCAGGTTAGGGGGTCTTCAGCTTTGCAAGCTGTTGTATACATACTGCCAAAGAAAAAATGAAGAAAACTAACATAAATCATTTTTGTGGGAATATCGACCAAACAGTGCAAAAACATTTTTTTTTTAAAGAATCCCGTTAGCATCCTGTTAAAAGAACATTATAGTCACCTAGATCACTTCATCTCAATGTAGTGGTCTTTGTCCAGTGTCCCTGTCCTTTTGACCCTGCAATGAAAAACACTGCCGGTTTTAAGAAACCGCAATGTTTATATTGCAAGGTTAACACCCCCTGTAGTAAAACTCGTACATGTGGCGCAGAAACCCTAAAGGAAAGAACTGACTCAACACTTTCCTACAGGGAATTCTGAATGCGCGCATTGGATTGGACCCTTACGGAGATGGCAGGGCCATGACATTGGCAGCAGTGCCAAGGAAGCTGCAGCGCTGTAATAAGGTAAGTAAAACTTATGTTTTTTTTGCTCTGGGAGGACCTATTTTGAGCTAAAAAGAGGGACACTGCAGCATGAGGAATACAGATTTGTACTTGTAACGCTATAGGTTTCCTTCTATATGGGGTTTCCAAGGAGTGGATATTTTACAAAAAGAGTGGCACTTTCAAGCCATGCCCTATTCACATGATTACTTGGGGAAAATGGATTCTAGAACCATCAAAAGGAGAAGATTATATAAAGAGGCTTGATACTAGCCATTATTCCGAAATATATTTTCAATGCATGTTAAGAGTGATGGAATTCACTGTTCTTTTGAACACACTAAAGCCAACCTTTAAAGTGACAGGTTAAGATAAGCAGAAGGTGCATTTCTTCCTTGCAGGCTGTATTAAACATTTCTTTTGATTTTACGGTTTTAAAATAGAAACAGAAAAAAAAAAAGGTGCAGATTCTAATCTAATTGCTTTCTTTTAAAAAGAACAAAGTAGGAGCAGTAAAGATATGACGAGAATACAATCCTGATAAACCGGAATTACTACAAACCACTGAAGCATGGTGACCATGTAAGCACAGATTATTCAGTGCATACTCATAGCTAAGTGACACAGAGCTGATCACGCCTGTCATTCAGAAAGATTTATCTATATTCACTTTGCAGCACCTTTTAATTGCCTCATGCATTGTGCCCTTTCACGCACTCCTGATTTTACGTGATTGAGAGCCTGAGTTAATAATTACATTGTACAAATGAAACTTTATTGAAAACGCTTTTATTAGAGGTGTTTGCATTTTCAAACTGGTTGCATGCTCCATAAAAGAATATTGCAGCTTTTATAGTAATTAACTCTCTTATATGTTTTGTAGCTTGCTAAGGTTATTTTCCCCCTCAGTTACAACTATGGGAAAAAGAAAGTACACCCTCTTTGAATACTATGGTTTTACATATTAGGACATAATAACAATCATCTGTTCCTTAGCAGGTCTTAAAATTAAGTAAATACAACCTTAGATAAACAACACATGACAGATTACATCCCATCATAATTTATTTAACAAAAAAATAAGCCAAAATGTGTTGTTCATTTGAGGTTGTATTTATCTAATTTTAACTCTCATATGTTCTTTTTCTAGATGAAAGTCAAATATGCTTTACCCTACAGTGTTAACAGTGCTTGGGTTCTTGAAGACTTAAAATCTTGTCTATTTTATCCATTCCTATGGAAGGAATCTCTGTCTCTGCCACCTCTGAACTTATAGACACCGAATGTCTCTTCTGTTCACTCCCATTGGCTATCTTAAGGTTGTTAGTTAATGTCACCTACACAGTTGGGATGTATTTGTGGTGTCCACCAGGAAAGTTAAGGGGAGGAATGGGGGACAGCAAAACAATGCACCATACACTAAACACAGCTAGCATAAACACTGCACACAGAAAGCACACACACATGATATACAGCCAGCACACACCACAGACTCACCACACACAAACACATTATATACAGCAAGCACACACCACACACACTCACTACATGCAGCCAGCACACAATCACCACAAACACATTATATACAGCCAGCAAACATTACACATATACACACACACTTTACACCTAGCTGACCCACACCACATGATCATTACATCTAGCCACCACACATACTGTGGCGGACCGCGTGGTACCACGACTGAGTACCCTTGCCAATTCACGCTTCCTACTAATCACCGAGTACCATAAGCACTGCACCAGGACACCATAAGCACTTCCAGTCCCTAGCTGCCGCAGCTTGGATCAGTTTTCGCACCGGGGCCCCATGGGTTGTGTGTACACCACGGTCAGACAATAGCAATGGCTGATGGGAGATTGAGGAGGGACAAAGCAGCTAGTTTAAGCTGGTCTGGCAGTGCCCCTAGGACAGGAAACATGTCTTTTTACATGGCCGATAGTCTTTGGGCAGGAGGCCCCTCCAGGTACATGTGGCAGAGGCATTTTTGCCACATATAGTAATAGTATACTTCACATTTTTAAACATTAAATCTGAATGGCAAAATTAAATAGTCAGTTGTTAACTATAGCTGAGTATTTTTTTTTTTTTTTTTACAAATTAGCTATTTTGCCCTTAGGTTTTCCATTCAGATTTAATATAGGAAAATCCCAAGTTTAGTGAATAACACTGTCAATGTCCAGGTCTAAGCACTTTCCCGAAAATTTGAATTTTGCATCAAGACAAGTAGATTGTCATGACAGACAAGTAGACTGAGCTACCACTTTAATCCCCTGGAAAACTAAATAAAAAAATAAAAATCCACAGCTTAGATGACATATACACTACTATGTTATAGAATTTATTTCGTTTACATTTCAGTTTCTACTGTATTAGACCCTAAACACCCTAACCCAAACACTCAATGACAATTCTCACTCTGACTCTAGAATTAAATAACACAGGGCACACTGATTTCTGCTGAAAATCAGTGCAGAATGCCTTGCCAAGGGCTACACTAATAGTTGATAAATGAAAAAGGATCTTAACCAAATTTCACACTGACGTTCTGGCTATTTGTTCACTACAACTGATATTGAAACTATCAACTTGTGGAAACTATCAACTTGTTGTTACAATCACTGTATACTTTAAGACATTAAAATCCGAAACGTTAAACACAGGATCTACATCCCTATCCCCACACCACTCCCGTCACCCCACCATTACACCCACACTCCGAACCTGGAAGCTCATGAGACTGGGGACCTCAATATCCCCTCATCCATCC